TGGCCCCGGAGCGGTGCCAGCACATGCTGAGAAGGGCTGTGTTTGCTTGCCACGGGGAGCAGGGCGAGGAGCCTTCCTCCCTTCTCCTGGGTGAAAGACGCTCTCGTCCGCTCACGGGACCCAGCTGAGCCGTGGGGATGGGACACTGAGCTGGGGTGGCTTCGGTATTTGTGCCGACTGGGTCTGCGGGCTGGGCTGTGGCTGTTGCTTTCTGCAGCCTGGAGGGTGGATTCGGGCTGTGTCTCAGATATGTGCTGCTGGGATCGCAGGTTGCCTTGGCTGTCTACCAAAAATGCTCCCGAGGGGTTGGTTGGGGTGGCTTTCCTTTCTGCTCAGCTGTCTAGCTGAGGGCCAGCATCTCTCAACAGTGCTCTCGCAGGCTGTATATCCCAAAGTCAAGACTGAAGACGCATCTTGAAGCAGCGAGATGCTGCTGGTTGCGCTCGCCAGTGTCTCCTGGCACCTTGCTGTGGGACAGTGCCTCGTTTCTCCTGGGTTCACTGGCCTGCACCGATGTGTTCTGCTCTCTCCGCACCTGACCGGCTCAGTGAGAGCAGGCAGCAGGCGGTACGCCGGGCTTCTGAGATGCGTACGAGCTGAGACCGCTGCCGGGTGTTCAGGAGGCTCCATGAAGCTGCCTGTTGCATCCAGAGAGATCTTTGTGTGTTGTGGGAAGCACAACAGATCCTTGTCCCCAGACGAGACTCGGTGCTGTGCTGGAGACGGGTGTCTGGAGCTCAGCACGCCTGAGCTCTGCGCTGCAGCGGGGCCGGCAGCTCGGAGTCGGCTGCCCTCGTTGTTTTGGAGCTCTGGGCTTCCGAGCCGGGCTTGGCTGGTTACGCTGACCGAGCGCTGACACCGCGCTCTGGTCACTTGATCGGCCTTTCCGTCCCTAACTGGGAGGGTTGTATCAGACCAGGGAAGCGGTTGTGAGCGGTTGGACTCACGGTTCATCTCCCCCGGGCAGGAATGAACACGAGGGAGAGGCAGTTTGGCTGTGGCAGGAGCAG